CCTCGACAACATTCCCTTCATCCGATACACCCTTAAGTCCTCTGCTGTTCCAACGAAATCCTCCAAGATTTTACACGGACACGCTGGGAGCTCCAAAAACGCGAGACACTCTTAATGCGTATGGTGTGCACTAATGGCACGACGACCCGTTCGTTACTGGCGTACTGATGGCTAGTTCCGCCGTCGCGAAGGGGTTAAATTAATTGAAAAAGAAAAAAGCTGAAGTTGTGACTTAATTATGTGTTATACAAGTAATTAGTAGACATTTTCAGTCCTACGTCCGCAAAGGAATAAAGGACCTTCGAGTACCCATGAATGATCTAGACCTTTTACACGAGATTCAGTGAAGCCTATAGATTGTTAAGAATCGGTATCTTGACTGGTAGATAAATGATTTCAATTCGAGAAGGCCTGACCTCCTGGAACCTGGACAATGGAACGACTCGATCGATAGCTACAGGCTGGCGTGATTTCCTGGAAATCTTGTCAAAACAATTGGGCCTTTGAAAGGAATTCGCCGGCGATACTTGAGACTCGACGATAAGCTGTGCTTGGAGGAATGATTGTCTGAGTTGCACCGACTGGAAATCTGTGTTTCCTTGGTCTCAATATCAAGTTACAATTCTGATCTATACATCTACACCCTTCTTTGATAATCGTTGCTTGGACCAATTGTGCAATAGCTATTTTTTAATCTCGAACAGTGTCCTCAATTCAATTGATCATTTGCTAATGCAATTTCTGTGTGTCAGAATCGTAAAACAATTGTTTAGTAAATTCGCAGAGATCTCGAAGACCGAGTTGGACCGCAGAAACAATTCTTCTTCGCGATGTTGTACCCTCAAATATTTTTCTAGTCTCTTAGTACTGGTTCTATCTGTGTCCACAATTAGTCACCAACTTTCACCATTAATCACACTGGACTTCTTCACCTTTCAACTTTCCTCTGACCACTCCTACACAGTTACAACCCAAATTTCATCTTCCTCGAACCCTTAAGGGGATATTCTGATTTTGAATGCCATCTTTCAAGCAATTTTCAGGATTTTTTTTCTAAAGAACCGTTGAACTTTTTACATTAGGGCTTTGCACATACATTTATAGGTATTTAAGATACATAAGTAAAATCAATCAAAATTACACGAGTTATAGTTTGTTTTATAGAGTGTGCTTTACGAAAAGTGTGTCGATTTTTTTACACGATTCCGGGCCTTCTGCTGATCTAAAATGGAAAAATGGGGAAGAATCTTAATCGGTATAAATCTGGCTACGGTCTGAACGAAAATACATTAAAAGTATTGATTACTTACAAAATGGCAGCATTTTCAACTTAGATTATCGATTTTTTTCATACTTTGCCGTTTTTAGCATGTTAAACGAACAAAAAAAAAATGGCGAATGTTAAAAATTTTGGTTCACGCGATAGCAGGATGTGTGCTGAAGATTCTCTACAGATTTCAAGTCAATTGATGAACTAGAACTCGAGATATCGTGTGAACCGTTTCAAAAAATGAGCTTTCCGAGAAAAACGCGTTTAAAGATTCATCTATCCATTTCGTTGCCGTATGACTGCATCTTTCGAACGTTTACATCTAAATTAATTTTACGAATTCATACAAATCCTTCTGCACACACGTTCTAGAATACTTGTTCTTTAAGAAAATGCAAAAAAGGAGAAAAAGATTTTTTGAAAGTTCAAAACCAGAGTATACCGCCTTAAGTAGCCCTATTTTTCCATCCTTGAGCCACTCTCTGTATTCTCATCCCCGCGTCACACGTTCCTCCAGTTTTAACCCTTCCACTGCTATCGGCGCTTTGAAAATTTGTCCGCATCGCGCTATTCAAGCCTTTTCGGCGCACTTCCATATTAATTTCAGTCTCAACTTTATCCTCTGCACTCTTCCACGTTAATTCGATGAAACAAATTTTAAAACGATAGGGCCAGAAAACAAAATTTTGCGGCCGTTGTAGATCATCTGAATCTGCCACACACGCGTTGTGTACTAAAATTTGCCGCGGCGAAAGGGTTAACACGTTAAGCGCCATGTCAGTCACCGGCGACTGACACTATGCCTGCCCGTTCAGGCCGCGTCAGTCACCGGTGACTGACAGTATACTTTTCGTTAGTCGTCTTCTGCTTATAGTTCGCATGGCCCACTTGACGGCCAAGTGTGGCCCGAACGGAACGGTAAGCAAAACAGGTTGGGCATTTAACGCGTTAATAAAGTTTCTTTTCCTACGCAACGTCGATCCTTAATTCCTCCGATTTAAGAGTGTTACCCCAATGCGTGCCCTAAGATTCGAGGAGTGCCCAATTACCTCTGGAACGGCTCAGAAACGCAATCACCAATCTTATCCTTCGTTCCTTTCAATTCCACGATTCTTTTATTTTTCAAAATTCTACTACAATAGCTGAGCTGGCTGGCTGGCAGAGGGCCCGGAGGTGGAAGGAAATCAGCGGAAAACATGGAGACATGAGTCAGAAAAGGAGTGCGTACGTGCATGGCGTCGAATATTCATCGGTGCCCCGCGGCACGTGTAACTGGAACCGTAACTAGACACCGATAAGTTAAGCACGCTGTGCTCACGAACGCACGCTACACACACACGCATACGCATACATAGAGAAGCAGAGAACAAAAGGGAAAAATAGGACGATGTAAATTTCGTTTGCAGAAAATTAGCCCGACGGCTGAGAAGAGAAAAGAAATCGAGAGATTTACTAAACGAGAGAGGAGAATTGTTCGAAAATGATCTCTACGGTGACTATGTTCGATCACATTGTTAGCAATCAGAGTCACAAGAGTAACGAAAACATCTGTTGGAGGATACGTGAATCCGTGTAAACATGATATCTGGCTAACGCAGTTACCTGCAGGGTATATGATTTTCCAGTGCAGATGGAATGGGTCCAGGACATGCTAGATGTTTTCATAGCAGCTACCGTGAGTATCACGTTTTCTACTGAGTGGACCGTTGGCTTGGTCAGGGATACTTTGATGATTTCACCGATGGAATAGAATTTCGGACCTGGATCGAGAATATTAAAGAGCGCGTTTGGAAACACTGTGCAGCATGAATCTTAAACGAAGTAATTGGAGAACGGGGATGGAGCGGAGAATGATTGACACAATTATCAACAGCGGAATCTAATTGACCAAGAGATGTTATAGTAGAAATCTTGAAAATTCCTGAATCAACGGAGACAATAGAGAAACCACTGGAAAATAGTGTCGAGCAAAGGTACGAAATCACGAAGGTTGTCAAACGAAAATTTTCAAATTGAGCTACAAATTGTGGATAATATGTAGATAGCAGACATTGACGATCCGTGAAATTCTGCCGAGAAAAGATTCGAAAACACAAGATAACGCTACCTATTTAAATGAAGGAAGCGTGATCCAGAAGAGGAAAGGTCGTCGATCTCGCCTTAAACTGCACTACGATCTCTCGCTATCGTCAAGATTGAACATCATCTTCTACAGATCACGTGTCCAGGTTCGACAAGCGATATCGAGCCACCAAGTACACCATGCACACTCCTCCATCTCTGTGCTTGGATCCAAGGTGCACAAGCCAGCGAGGAGATCGCGATAACCATGTCGAAGCGTTCGCCAACACACCTGACTGCAACTGGAGATCCCCTGCTACGCGACACCTACGAGACCACATCTGCTCTCGTCACAGGATCCCCTTGTTTCGAATCGTACACGACAGACGATAGATCGAATCCAAAATAAGCTTGGAAATTGAAAACAACCATCGTAGAAATAGAGAATGATTTCTTCAACACGTTCACTGCCACGTTGGTCACCTGTGACCGGAGATTGCTTCTTCGACGGGGCCACCGGTGGTCATCGATAACCCGGAGGACCTCAAATGTTTAGAATAACTCGAATAAAACGAATATCGTCGACTAAAAATTTCGAACGTCATAGCTAACCAGACGTTATTTTGAATTTAAAAAAAGAAAATAATAATAAAGCGTAATACAATACTATGCTTCGAATAATGAAAATTTTCTTATGGCCCCCTGAGCGAAACATGTAAATCTTGCCATTCGTCCGGCTTTCCCCGGATTTGTTCGAATTTTTAACTCTTTGCGGTCGAACCCCGGGATATTCCCGGCAAGGCGTTTTTACCTTCCGAACTCTTTGTGGACTCTTTGCCTGCAGAAACGAGGGGGAAAAAAATAATATGCACACAGATTCAACAAACTCGTTTGAATAAAATTTATACGTTTTTTTAGGCAATAATTGACTAAGTTGATCTCAGAAGCCTCAAAACTCTCAAAATCTTTGTTTC